GCTGATGACTCCTGGAGGCCAGGCGGGACTTGCTTCCCCTTGGGGGCATCGGTGGCTCTAAGGGGACACCTAGTGGCGAGGGAGGGTAGTGCGTTTGGATGACTGAGGTGGGAGGGGATGAAGAACCTGGGAGGGGGTAGATTAGAAGTCAAAAATTAGAACTGGTGATGAGGATTGGGACTGTTGGAGGAGGCTGCAGGGGAGGGAGCTGACTCTTTGGACAGTGAAGAAGTTTGCACGGGAGGAGCGCAACAAACCTAAATTCAGACTCCAGCTCTTCAATGTCCTGGCTGTTTGTCCTCAAGCGCATCACTTAACCTCTCTGTGCTTCTATTTAAATGCCAAATAAGTGACAGCTGCTGTTATTATTTTCATTTTCATCATTGTCCTTTTTGGTAGGATTTTGGGCTGGAGTCCGGTTGGAAGAAGATCTTTGGGCACTAGCGGGTGGGTGGGACAGGACTGAAGGAGACTGAGAGGGGTGCTGCAGGTCCTGAGGGATAAAGGCCCCAAAGGGAGGTGATAGGGAAGGGTTCACAGCAGTAGTAATAGCCCCCTTGATACACTGTTTTCCCTTTGAGGACATCCCTGGGCCTTCAATCCGGGCTGGGAGGGAAATGGTGTGGGGGGAGGAGTGTGCAGGCTGGAGAGAGGGTCATGAGGCCGGAAGTGAGAGCTGGGGCTGGCAGCCTGGCTCCCCTGGGGAGGCTGGGGTGGGGGAGGGGGAGGCGGGCTGGGGAAGGGGTGGGGTGGTCACAGCCGCTGCGGGGGAGGGTGGGGCTGGGGACTCAAGGATGTGGGCTGGCGCTTCCCGGCACTGTACACAGCAGGTTGGGGCCCCCAGCCCCCTCCCAGCCGGTTGGTGTCCCCATGGGCAGGCTCAGACACACTGACCCAGAAGCAGACTGTCAGACAGAAGGACCCCTTTGACTTTGTTCACAGACATGGGATAGGTGGTGCCCTTGGGAGGGGTCCAAGAAAATGGCCGCCTGGGTGTGGTGGGGAGGGCAGCCGGCTGCTTCCCTCAGATCCTGGAGGCCGCAAGAGAGAGCCGTGGACAGAGTCAGGAGGTCTGGCAGGAGGACATGCCCAAAGGTCTTCACGGGTGGGTGGAACAGAAGCAACCACCGGAGAGGAGGTTTTCCCTTCTGCCAAGATCACACCCTCGGGCCCCAAGGGGGAGGTCTCCAGAGCAGGGAGGCTTGGTGAGCCCCACCCTCAGGAAGGGAGGCATCTGAAAGACTCTGAGGAGCCAGGGGTCAACCATGCTGTTGGAAATGGGACTTGGAGATGCCACGGTGTGCGCCCCTTCCCTCCTTTGTGAGGTTGTTACCCACAGTCCTTCTTGCAAGAGCAACGGGCGAGAGAGCCTGGCCTGGGAGAGAGCAGGACCCTGCGTGATGGAGTGGGCAGGACAGTGAGGAGCAGCCGAGGCCTGGGAACCGCCGAGCAAAAAGGGACAGTAGACAGATGGTTGTTCTGTCTGGATAAGCAAGAGAAGGGCTCTCTCTCCCATGCCGTTTTGTGACCCGGGGCAAAGGCCCTTTCCCTCTTTGTATCTCAGTTTCCTCATCTGTAAAATGGGAAAAGCACAAGGTGGCACCAGAACAGGGTACCCATGGGGAAGCGGATTAAAAATACAGATTCCCAGATGTCCCTTCAGATCTGTGAGTCAGACTCCCCTGGACGAGGGCCTGGGTATCTGGAATGTTACACAGCTCCCCCAGGCCCAGGGTTTGGAAGCCAAATGGCTTGGCGATTTTAAGGTTCCTCCCAGCGTTAATTTAGACCTCAGCTCTAGGAGCAGCGCTTTCAGGAGTGGCTGAAGGAAAGCTGCAGGAGCTGGGAGGGGAAGCAGGCTTTGGGTTTAGGGCAGAATTAGGAGTCCTGCCACTTTGCAGCTATGTGACTTCAGGCAAGTTCCACAACCACCACTCCGAGCCTGTTTCTTCTGTAGCACAGGGATAATCAGCCCTGCCTCCCGGGTTGCTGGGAAGATTCAGTGGGTCATATGTGTGGAAATGCTTTGGATGTTGCAAATCGCTGCCCACCACGGGGGAGTGGAAGAGTGTTCCTTCCCACACCATCCTGTCCCCGAGTTGGCTCCGTGGTCTTCCTGTGGGGTGACAGCCCTGGGTGGTATGGTAGCTGGTGGGAGTCTACACGTGTCGGGGGTGGGGGGTTGACCCTGGGGATCAGGTCAGAGCCAAACACTAAGGAGTCGTCGGGGTCAATCTTTAAGACCCTCCCCATGGTCTGGGCCCTGAGTCCCTTGGGAGTCACACATGCCTGGATTTAAATCCCAGCTCTGCCCTGACCAGCTCAGGGAGTTAGTAAATATTTATGTAGCATCCAAAGCCCAGGCCCTGGGGTCAGGGGATACAGCGGTAAACAAGACAGACACAGGGCCTGCCCATGAAGGGCCCACACTTGCGGGGGAGACTCACCGAAAAGCTAGTCATACAAGTAGTTGGTTGCAATCGTGATAGCTACTGTGAAGGGGAAGTAGAGAGGACTCAGAGAGCGCGCAGCAGGGGCCAGACTGTGGCCAGAGGTGCAATGGGGGGAGGGGGGGTCAGAGAAGGCCTTGCTGATAAATGTGGGAGAGGGGTCAGAGAACATCCCTTTCCACATGCTTGTCTCACACCCTCTCTCCACACCCTTCTTGGGTCCCACCTTTGGGGTCTGGAGAGGAATGAGAGAGAACCACATGGGAAAAGGCAGGGCTGATTGCTCTGTGCACCTCGTTCATTCATTCATAAGAAATAGTAAATATTTCTTGAAGCACGCTTGTGGGCCACGTGCTGATCAGGGTGTTGGGAGATAAACACAGAAGCGGACAGACAGAAATTCGTGGTGCTCACCACCTTCCAGTGGCTGGTTTCCTCCTCTGTAAAGGTGGGGATGATAATCATACTCATCTCAGGTTTGCAGGGGGCTTAGATGAGATAATCCACATAAAGTGCTTATCAGCCCATTGTTTGGCAATAGAGAAAGTGTCCCCAAAGTGTGTGAGCTTTTATTGTTGTTGACTCCCTGGTATGATTGTCACACCTCTGACCTGAGGCACTCTTCACTTTTTCTTTACAGCTCTTATCCCAGTAATAATTAAATCATTTATGATTATCTGATCACTGTTTGTCTACCCGGTCTTTGTGCAAAGTAGGCACTCCATAAGTAATGAGTATATGAATGAATGATGTTACTTCATCTCTGAGCCTCCATTTCTTCATCTGCAAGACGGGGTTATTAATAGCCCCTACCTCACAGGATTTGTATGAAGAATTAAATGAAACGATGCCTGGACAGCTTCCAGCCCAGTGCCTGGCGCGCAGTAGGTGCTCACTAAACCTGAGCTGCGATGGTCCTTTCCAGGCGCTGTCCACACCCCGAGGCCTGGGCTCAGGCCGAAGTTGCTCCACAGCTCCCCCAGCTGACAGCCAGCACCTGGCAGAGCCCCCAGGCACGGGGGCCCTCTCTCTCCCAGGTCAGCCGGGTGTGCGTACTGGAGCTGGGGGCGGTGTGTGGAGGAGACCGGGCCGGTGGGCAGTGAGTGGTTGGGCTGTGGCCACCTGACAGTTCAGATCCGCTGTTGCCTGTCTTGTTGCCCACAGAGATCTCCAGTGTGACAGCCCAGGCGGCAGAGCCGAGGGTGAGTGGCCAGGCTTCTCCTGAAATGGGCCGGGGGAGGGGGGTACAATAGGGAAAAGGTTACACCCTGGATAGGATTTCCTGGCCCTCTCCTTAAGTGTGATCTGGAGTGGTCGCGCCAGCCTGCTGCTGATGGCCTTCCCTTGCCAAGGCAGGCATCCTCTTCTCCCTGAGCCTGTAGCCAGGGTCTAGAAGTGGGTGAGCTGCTGACAAGTGGAACCAGGGCCCCTGAGGCGTTCCTGGTGCATGCGATGGTTCAGGAAAAGGCTGGGAGTCAACGGGGTGGGGGGGAGGGGGGGGACGGAGCTTGAGGGGACTCCCAGGAGGGGTGACGGGCTCACTGAGGAGGATGTGGGAAGCTGAGGTCTTGGACGTTCGGTGAGGGCCCTCTCGCCCGTCCTGCCCCACAGGTCCTGGTCCCGGCTTCTCGCACCCTCATGTCAGCCCCGGCCCCGCCCGGCGGCCCGCGGAGGACAAGGTCAGGATGCGTGTGAAGCCCCAGGGCCTGGTGGTGACTTCCAGTGCCGTGTGCAGCTCTCCTGACTACCTCCGGGAGCCCAAGTACTACCCCGGCGGCCCCCCCACCCCACGGCCCTTGCTTCCCACCCGGCCCCCTGCCAGCCCACCTGACAAGGCCTTCGCCCACACCTTCTCTGAGAACCCACGCCCACCCCCACGCCGGGACCCCAGCACCCGGCGCCCACCAGTCCTTGCCAAGGGGGACGACCCGCTGCCCCCGAGGGCAGCCCGTCCCGTCTCACAGGCCCGCTGCCCCACCCCCGCGGGAGACGGCAACAGCTCCCAACGGCGCTGGGACAACGGGCGGGTGAAGCTGCGTCCCGTGGTGCGGCTGATTGACATCATGAAGGACCTGACACGGCTCTCCCAGGACCTGCAGCACAGCGGCGTGCACCTGGACTGCGGTGGCCTCAGACTCAGCCGCCCACCTGCCCCACCCCCCGGTGACCTGCAGTACAGCTTCTTCTCCTCACCCAGCCTGGCCAACAGCATCCGCAGCCCCGAGGAGCGGGCTGCCCCCCACTCCAAGTCGGAGAGGCCCGGCCACCCCCTCTATGAGCCTGAGCCCGAGCCTAGGGACAGTCCCCAGCCTGGCCAAGGCCATAGTCCTGGGGCCACGGCCGCGGCCACCGGGCTGCCCCCGGAGCCTGAGCCAGACGGCCCTGATTACTCGGAACTTGCAGATGCCGACATCCTCAGCGAGCTGGCCTCCCTTACTTGCCCCGAGGCCCAGCTGCTGGAGGCCCAGGCCCTTGAGCCACCATCTCCTGAGCCAGAGCCTCAGCTCCTGGACCCCCAGCCCCGCTTCCTGGACCCACAGGCACTAGAGCCGCTCGGGGAAGCTTTGGAGCTGCCACCCCTGCAACCTCTTGCTGATCCTCTGGGGCTGCCAGGCCTGGCGTTACAGGCCCTGGATACCCTGCCCGACTCCCTGGAGTCGCAGCTGCTTGACCCTCAGGCACTCGACCCCCTGCCCAAGTTGCTTGATGTCCCTGGCCGCCGTCTGGAGCCTCAGCAGCCCCTGGGGCCCTGCCCACTGGGCGAGCCCTTGCGCCTGGACTTGTGTTCACCCCATGGCCCCCACGGGCCTGAGGGTCACCCCAAGTACGCCTTGCGGCGCACTGATAGGCCAAAGATCCTGTGTCGCCGGCGGAAAGCTGGACGGGGGCGCAAGGCAGACGCCGGGCCGGAGGGCCGCCTGCTGCCCCTGCCTATGCCCACAGGGCTGGTGGCCGCCTTGGCCGAGCCCCCGCCACCACCGCCTCCACCACCTCCTGCCCTGCCAGGCCCGGGCCCAGTCCCAGAGCTGGAGCCAGAATCTTCCCAGACTCCAGGGGTCCCCAGCCGCAAAGGCAAGTGCCGGGGCGTGCGGCGCATGGTGGTGAAAATGGCCAAAATCCCCGTATCGCTGGGACGGCGGAACAAGACCACGTACAAGGTGTCCTCCTTGAGCAGCAGTCTGAGCGTGGAGGGCAAGGAGCTGGGCCTGCGCGTGTCCGCGGAGCCCACGCCACTGCTGAAGATGAAGAACAATGGACGGAACGTGGTGGTGGTCTTCCCCCCCGGGGAGATGCCCATTATTCTTAAGCGGAAACGCGGCCGCCCTCCTAAGAACCTGCTGCTGGGTCCTGGCAAGCCCAAGGAGCCGGCAGTGGTCGCGGCCGAAGCAGCCACCGTGGCCGCGGCCACCATGGCCATGCCGGAGGTGAAGAAACGGCGGCGGCGGAAGCAGAAGCTGGCCTCCCCGCAGCCGTCGTATGCAGCAGACGCCAATGACAGTAAGGCCGAGTACTCCGACGTTCTGGCCAAGCTGGCCTTCCTGAATCGCCAGAGCCAGTGCTCTGGGCGCTGCTCGCCCCCCCGCTGCTGGACACCCAGCGAGCCCGAGTCGGTACACCAGGCACCCGACACCCAGAGCATCTCCCATTTCCTGCACCGGGTGCAGGGCTTCCGACGGCGTGGCGGTAAAGCAGGCGGTTTTGGTGGCCGGGGTGGGGGCCATGCCGCCAAGGCGGCCCGATGCTCCTTCAGTGACTTTTTCGAGGGCATTGGCAAGAAAAAGAAGGTGGTGGCAGTGGCAGGTGCTGGCGTCGGGGGCCCCAGCCTCACCGAGTTGGGGCACCCACGCAAGCGGGGCCGGGGGGAGGTGGACGCCATGACTGGGAAGCCCAAGCGCAAGAGGCGGTCCCGGAAGAATGGGACTCTGTTCCCAGAGCAGGTGCCTAGCGGCCCGGGCTTTGGGGAGGCCGGCGCCGAGTGGGCCGGGGACAAGGGCGGCGGCTGGGCCCCTCACCATGGGCACCCAGGCGGGCAAGCCGGCCGAAACTGTGGGTTCCAGGGGACCGAGGCCCAGGCCTTTGCCTCCACCGGGCTGGAGAGCGGGGCCTCAGGCCGCGGCAGCTATTACAGCGGTGGCGCCCCCGCAGGCCAGGCCGAGCTCAGCCAGGAGCGCCAAAACCTCTTCACCGGCTATTTTCGCTCACTGCTCGATTCGGATGACTCCTCCGACCTCTTAGACTTTGCCCTCTCCGCCTCTCGCCCTGAGTCCCGGAAGGCATCAGGCACCTACGCAGGGCCCCCCACCAGCACCCTGCCTGCCCAGCGGGGCCTGGCCACCTTCCCCAGCCGGGGGGCCAAGGCCAGCCCAGTGGCGGTGGGCAGCAGTGGGGCTGGTGCGGAGCCCTCCTTCCAGCCTGTCCTGCCCGCTCGCCAGACCTTCCCGCCGGGCCGGGCGGCGAGCTACGGTATCACTCCAGCCACTTCAGAGTGCCGGGCAGCCGAGACCTTCCCGAAGCTGGCGCCCCCGCCGTCGGCCGTGGCCCGCTCCCCGACCGCCCACCCGCCCGCCAGCACCTACCCACCTCAGTACGGTGGCTACGGGGCCGGACAGAGCGTTTTTGCCGCAGCTAAGCCCTTCACGGGCCAGGACTGTGCTAACAGCAAGGACTGCAGCTTCGCCTACGGCAGTGGCAACAGCCTGCCTGCCTCCCCCAGCAGCGCCCACAGCGCCGGCTACGCCCCACCGCCTACAGGGGGCCCCTGCCTGCCGCCCAGCAAGGCCTCGTTCTTCAACAGCTCTGAGGGGGCCCCCTTCTCTGGCTCAGCCCCCACGCCCCTGCGCTGTGACAGCCGGGCCAGCACCGTCTCTCCCGGCGGCTACATGGTACCCAAGGGCACCACGGCCTCTGCCGCCTCCTCCTCCTCCTCCTCCTTCCAGCCCTCGCCTGAAAACTGTCGGCAGTTCGCGGGGGCTTCTCAGTGGCCTTTCCGGCAGGGCTATGGAGGCCTGGACTGGGCCTCAGAGGCCTTCAGTCAGCTCTACAATCCCGGTTTCGACTGCCACGTCAGCGAGCCCAACGTGATCCTGGACATCTCCAACTACACGCCGCAGAAGGTGAAGCAGCAGACGGCTGTGTCCGAGACCTTCTCCGAGTCGTCGTCCGACAGCACCCAGTTCAGTCAGCCGGTCGGCGGCGGCTTTCGGCGCGCCAACAGCGAGGCTTCGAGCAGCGAGGGCCAGTCAAGCCTGTCCAGCCTGGAGAAACTGATGATGGACTGGAACGAGGCATCCTCTGCCCCCGGCTACAACTGGAACCAGAGCGTCCTTTTCCAGAGCAGCTCCAAGCCGGGCCGTGGACGGCGGAAGAAGGTGGACCTGTTCGAGGCCTCACATCTGGGCTTCCCGTCATCCGCCTCGGCCACCGCCTCAGGCTACCCGTCCAAACGGAGCACCGGGCCCCGGCAGCCGCGGGGTGGGCGGGGTGGTGGGGCCTGCTCAGCTAAGAAGGAGCGGGGCGGGGCGGCCGCCAAAGCCAAGTTCATCCCCAAGCCACAGCCCGTCAACCCCCTGTTCCAGGACAGCCCGGACCTCGGCCTGGACTACTACAGTGGGGACAGCAGCATGTCACCACTGCCCTCCCAGTCGAGGGCCTTCAGCGTGGGTGAGCGAGACCCTTGTGACTTCATGGGACCCTACTCCATGAACCCGTCCACTCCTTCTGACGGCACCTTCGGCCAAGGCTTCCACTGCGACTCGCCCAGCCTGGGTGCTCCTGACCTAGATGGCAAGCACTTCCCGCCTCTGGCCCACCCACCCACAGTGTTTGATGCTGGTCTGCAGAAGGCCTACTCACCCACCTGCTCACCCACGCTGGGCTTCAAGGAAGAGCTGCGGCCGCCACCCACAAAGCTGGCTGCCTGTGAGCCCCTCAAGCACGGGCTCCAGGGGGCCAGCCTGGGCCACGCGGCTGCAGCCCAGGCCCACCTCGGCTGCCGGGACCTGCCGCTGGGCCAGCCCCACTACGACTCCCCCAGCTGCAAGGGCACAGCTTACTGGTACCCACCGGGCTCAGCTGCCCGCAGCCCACCCTATGAAGGGAAGGTGGGTACGGGGCTGCTGGCTGACTTCCTGGGCAGGACGGAGGCCGCGTGCCTCAGTGCCCCACACCTGGCCAGCCCACCGGCCACACCCAAGGCCGACAAGGAGCCACTGGAGATGGCCCGGCCGCCCGGCCCACCCCGTGGCCCTGCCGCCGCCGCCGCTGGCTACGGCTGCCCGCTCCTTAGTGACTTGACCCTGTCCCCTGTGCCGAGGGACTCGCTGCTGCCCCTGCAGGATACCGCCTACAGGTATCCAGGCTTTCTGCCGCAGGCGCATCCCGGCCTGGGTGGGGGCCCCAAGAGCGGCTTCCTGGGGCCCATGGCGGAACCTCACCCTGAGGACACATTCACCGTCACCTCCCTGTAGTGCCAACTGAAGTGCCGACTGGACCTCGAGGTTTTGTTCCTGGGTGAGTCTGGGGGTGTGGGTGGAGCGGGCGGAGGCCTGGGCAGGTGACGGCGGGGCTGGGGTGGGGGATGAGGACATCAGAGCTTGGGCAAGGGGAAGGCGTACGGTGATGAGCGGGAAGGATTTAAGGACAACATCGGGGACCCCGGATAAGAGGAAGGTGGGATTCAGGAAGGCGTCCGGGATTAGATGCTGGGGACAGTCTTCAGGAAGAAGACCTGAAGATGCACTCTGGTGGGGGCCAGGCTGAGGGTGTGGTTACTGTGTCTTGGTCACACTCTGCCAGGGCTTTACAAAATGGCCTGAAGTATCTTTCCTGGTCTCCTGGCGCCCACCCAAAGATTATTTTTCACTGTCTTTGACCTGAGGTGTGGGCTCAGAGTGGTCAGAGGCAGGTGGGATAGGGATCCAGAAGTGAACAAGGGAGGCTGGGATCCTGCTGTGCCTCACAACCCTCACCCAGCGGGTCTGTCCCCAGGCAGGACACTTCCTACCTAGAAAAAGCCAGTCCCTTTCCTGCAGCCAAATGCTTTTCCAAGAGTTTGGTTAAGTTTTGCTAGATGTTTAGATACTGTGTTTATCAGGCGTGTGTCCTCATGAGGTGGAATCAAAGTTTTGGTATTCTCAAGATTTTGTTTAAGGAAAATAAAAGAGGGAAAAATGCCCCCAAAATGGGTAAAAAGGGACAAGGTCGGAAGAATCATTTTCTCGAAGCACAAGGCGCTCCAGAAAATACAGCCCCAACTGGCCCATCACATCCCATTCTTGGGACAACAGAGGTGGCACAAAGTTGCCTCAGATGTGGTGGGGAAGTGGCCTAGGGGCCTGTCTGAGCCCCTCACCCTCCACCTCTCCTGCCACTGCAGCCTCCTGGGAGTGCCTCTTCCTGGAGAAGGAATAGCAGGGCTCCTGGAAAGTCCCATCCCTGCCCTGGGGAGGTCATTCAAGGCCAGGGTGACTCAGGGTCCTGAAGTCGTGTCAGTGGAAACTTATTATCCCCTTTCTGCCTGACCCCAGGTCCCTTGGTGCCTGAAGGTGGCAAAGGGCAGCACGTGGGAATCAGAAGGCCTGGGGAAGGACCGTTCCCCAATTGGCCACCAACATGCTCCATGTCCTTGACCATGCTTTTACTCCCTCCAGCCCTGGGCCTCTGTTTCCCCATCTGTTCAAGAAATTCAACTTTGATAATCTCGTAGGTTTTGCAATTCTGTGTAGCACAGACAGTGGACCAAACTTTTTTTTTTTTTTTTTGGCAGCCTATTTTCCTCCTAATGAAGCCAGGCCAAGATTAAAATGGCCTCCCATTCCCCGTGCGTCTCACTGCAAGCAGCAGAGCTGCAGATCTGAAGCAGGCCAGGGAGAAGCTGCTTAGGGTTTAAAATGTCAAACTCTTGATCCTTCTCACTGGAGGGGAGATGTCTCCTGGATAATCCAGAAATGTGAAATAATCCAAAAACCGTTCCTCCTGGGCTCTGGATGGGAAAATAAAACGAGTGTGGGGGCTGGGTGTTTGAGCAGGTCACAGCTCAGTGAGATACATAATGGAACCATCCAGTGAGGCCTGAACACAGAAGGAACTGGGATGCCATCCAGCCCCACATTCTGGCCACACTCTCCACTCCGGGCTGGGAGTTGACAGCGCTGTCCTCAGACTGATGCATTCAGTTGTTCTGGAGACATCTGTCCGGCACCCACCATGAAGCAGGCATGGGGGGGGCACCCCAGTGAACACCACAGATGAGGTCCTGGTCCTCAGGGGGCTTCCAGTTTAGAGAGAGAGACAGTACGTAGACTGACACGAAGGAATTTGGTGAGGATTACGATAGGAAGGACCGAGAGAGAGGAAATAGCTAGGAGGTTGTGGGAACCTGCAGCGGGCTGACTGGATCCTGAAGCTGATGCCTGAAGGACGAAGGGGCATCAGCTAGACAGGGAGTGGGAAGGACATTCTAGGCAGAGGGAACAGCAGTGGGTGAAGCCCTGGGGCGGGAAGGAGCTCAAACTTGAGGAACCGATAAGAGGACAGTAATTCCTCACTGAATGAGTGGACAAGGCAGGCAGGGCACCGGAAGGAGTTTGAACCATATTCCAAGACCAGTGGGGAGCCATTGAAGAGTTACCAGCTAGAAGGTCCCCCACCCCCCGCCCACACACACACACCACAGGGCAAGTGCTGAAGGAGGGCGACCTCGGTCACCTCAGGCAGTGAGCGTTTTGACGTGGGCCGCTGGAGAAACTGGTTCGGCTCCACCCCACACCTTGAGCCTCTCGCTGCCTGTCCGGGTGCCAGGCATGGAGGAGACAAAGCAGACGTGGTCCTGTCCTCAGAGTTCAGCATCCACCCCAGGAGGCTAAGGCAGGTACACGAAGAACCTGAAAACAGCTGGTGGCAAGTGGCAGGTGCCCAGAGGCGGGGAGAAACAAAGCTTGTGTACCAGGAAGGTGGGTGTTAGGGTCAGAGGTCATCTCTCAGAACTTTTGGTGAGAAAAGGGACACACGTCTTTGCCCTTCATGCAACACTGCCGCACTGAGCCTTCACAGCAGGCTGGGAGGTGGTAATGCCCGCTCCCCCCCCACCCCATCGGAGAGTGGAGCAAGCAGGTGCAGCTAGGAACCTTGCCAGGGGATCCACAATTAGTCACCGGTGGAGTCGGGATTCAAACCCAATACTGCACCCCCCCCCAGAACCTGGGTACCCTGCCATACCATTCCCCCAATACCCCACACCGCTGACTCCCCATCCGCAAAATGACAGCTTGGTTGGACACTCCCTACAAATGTTTCTGGGTCTGACATTTTAAACGGATTTTGAAGTTCTTTCGAAGAAGCTGCGTTTGAGCTTGACTTTGAAGAATAGGCAAGATTTGGATGGACAGAGACTTGAGGGGAAAGGTGTTCTAGGCAGAGGGAACTGTGGGCAAGGGGAGGGTCACACCCCACTGTGAATTAGAAGAGGAAAGCTCAGGGGAGCTAGAGTGGGGAATGTGGGACGCCCTTGGTCTGAGAGCTGAGCTGGTGGGACAGAGGGAAGGGGTAGAGGGTGGGGAGCGCTCGGGCTGGGGGCAAACCTCTCCAGTTCCTTAGGTGGAAAACGGAGCCAGGGAGACTGACTCCACATTGGGCCCTCATGGCCAAAGATCCAGCCCTGCTAGACCCTGTGCAATCAGGAAGGGCCCTCCAAGGCACTCAGGAATCTTGAGTCCCCCTCTCCTCCCTATTCCCTCTCAGGCGTGGACCTGAGGCCAAGAGAAATGTCACAGGTCCTCCAAGGTTACACCAGCCTGGGGCCTGACGGGAGCAGGAAGCAGTTTCCAAGGCCACCGGCCAACCAGGGTCAGCAGGCATGCCCAGACCTGGGCCAGGCCCCAGCTGCTCTGGGCTTTGTCTCTCTGTGTCTTGAAACCTCAAGAGGTCACTTGATCTTGCCTCTGGCTCTGAGCAAAAGCCCTCACATCAGGGGTCAGCCCTCCCTGCCCTGTCTCTTGTGGGCCTCTCTTCGCACTCTCTGAGGCCGTCCTCCCTCCCATCCCATGTCTTGCCTCTCCCACGGCCATTTTCAGGCTAGGCCTTCTTGTTCTGAGCCCTCATTTCCTGGAAATATAATCTCTCTGTGAACATGCCCTCTCCTGCTCCTCCTCTCCCATCTCCCCACATCCCTGTGGGCCCAGAAGAGCCCAAGGGAGTGAGGCTCTGAAACTGGAGGGTGGTGGCAAGGAGCACGCCTGTAGGCACAGACCAGCCTCTGTGCGGAGCCTGGTTCCATCCCTTACCACTTACGTGACCCGGTGAGTCACATCACCTTGCTGTGTCTCTTGTGAGAATTAATGAGATTACCCATGAAGCCCTTAGCCCAATTCCTGGTGCACAGTAAGCACGTAGTCAGTGGTTGGTACATGGGTGGACAAATGCCTCCCACCAGCTGAATTCTGTCACCCAGTCTGTGTGACTCACACACACCCCGGACCCTTTCCTCCTCGCTCAGGACTCTGTAGGTAGCCAGCCTCCCTTCACCTGCTGCCCCTGTTGTCTCCTAGGAAGGATTTTGTGTCTAGTGTGGTTTGGGGTCCTTTGGTGGGAAGATACGAAACACCACCTAGGTTTTGGCCCTGGCTGATTCCTCCCTGGGGGGCCCAGAGGCAAGGGAAGTCACCAGCGCCCCCCCATGGGACCTGAAGCCTGATGGGCAACAGGACCCGGACTTCTAAATGACCGACCCAGGTCAACTAGAAGCCCTTCCCATGCAGGTCCTCGCACCAGTCCCCTCTCTCGGTGCCTCCTGACTTTGTAAATACATCATGGTTTTTTCTCGAGGTAGATTTGCCATCTTCGTTGTCATCCCTTTTGCTGCCGTAACGCCCTCTGTGCTAGAGGGGAGGGGAAGTAGGTTAATTCTGTGTTCACCGCACATGAACCAGTCACCTGCCCAGGGCCAGGCACTGAACGAGACCAGCAGTGTCCTGCCCTCATGGAGTTTACAGCCTATAAACAGGTGTCCTTTGAAAGTCTCCAAGTGGGCATCATTCTCCAGGGCAGGGACTGAACTAGGTCCCCTGGAAGTACTGGGGACCCGCCCTCTTGAAGCACGAGCAGGGCAGGCAGCAAGAGCTTCCTGGAGCCAGAAAATGGGTCTTGGGGGGGCGCCTGGGTGGCTCAGTCGGTTAAGCATCCGACTCTTGATCTCAGGGTCATGAGTTCAAGCCCCGCGCTGGGCATAGAGCCAAGATTTAAAAAAGAAAATGGGTCTTGAACAAATTTAAGGCGTCAGAAGCGGTAACCCTGGGTCATTCAACTGGTGGCTGCCATGTCTCTGCCCCGACACCTGCCCCCAACCCCAGTCCGTTCCCCTCATTATGGCCACCAAAGTGCTTGTTCTTCAGCATTTCCGGATGCATGGTGTCTGGAGCCCCCGAAATTATTTATTGGATGAATTGATTCCAACCCATTCGCTCCTGTGCCTCCATTGCTTACCATCTGTCGATTGCATCCCCTGCTCCCTGCCTCTCCAGTCTCCTTGCCTACAAAATAACAGCCCAGCCACTAGCCTGGTATTCCAGGTATTCAGGTCTTCCTTTTCTGCCCTGACCTCCTCACACACCCTCCCTTTCCAGCCCTAGAATGTGGAATTAGGAGGGAGCTTTCTTTCCCCAGTGTGCCCTGTGCCTTTCCCCGAGCTATCCCTGGCCTGGGCTGCCCTTTGCTGCCCACCATCCATCTCCCACCTGTCAGTTCCTATCTTTCATTCAGGCGTCACCTCCTCCAAGAAGCGTTCCAGGATCCTTCCCAGGCCCACTTAATCTCTAGCCTTTTATGCATCCATGCAACCCTTCCTGGGAATGTCCTCACTACATCGTCGGCTCCTTTAGGCTGGTTGCTCATCTCTGTGCATGTTCCCCATCTTCCTCGGTGTCACATCATGCGTGGGACATTGTTTTTTGCCTTGAAGACAAGCATGTAGACTAGAGAGAATTGAGAGAGGAAGGGCAAGCACTGGGAGTAGGTAGGAGACCATTTCTGTCACCGTCGCTGTCCTCAGATAGGCTCCTAAAATGGGGCAGGGGATGGGGCGTATAAATAAACAAATTTAGACGCTGCAGGCTACCTAGGTTTTTGGAGTTCTCCAAGTACAACCTTGGAGAGCTCCAAAGGTTAAAGCGCAGTTTACAGACAGGGAAGGGGACTCCCCCAAAGACACACAGCCACCCTGGCAGGAGTGGAATGATAGAGCCGGGAAGGGTCCCTGGTGAGCAGTCACATGCCCAACACATAGCCATCACTGGGGCCTGTCTTTACAGAGGCATCTCTGATCAGGAAGGCAGAGAGTGTGGGTGTTGGCCGTAGAGTCTCCTAGGACTGGTAAGCAGTATGCAGCTCTGCAAGGTGGGAGACCGTGGATATGAACCCTGCTGTGTCCCGCTAGCGTCCCTCTCTATGCCCAGCAGTGGAGGGGGTGGGGAAAGATCCTTAAGGAGGGAATGGCTGGTGAGCTAGAGTTTCAGGAGTGCCTCTGGTCACGGGTGGACACAGGTTCTGAAAACATTGTCTGGAGTGGGGAGGAGAGCCACACCCACACCCTACAGCCAGTCCATCCTACCAGAGGGTGTCCCCCATGTGTCAAGTGTGGTCGGAGACCCAGGGAAGCAGTACTCTCTCCACATTTGAGGGACCTACAGGCCTGACTTTGCCTGAAAATGTCAAGAGGGGGTGGATCAGCCTTTGGGCAGCTGTGGTCTGCTTCTGACCCCACTGGGGCCTGAATATCTCTCCCATTACCTGTTCAACCCCCTACTTTACATAGAGACTAGCCCAGAGAGGGAAAGGACTTGCTCTAGGTGACACAGCAGATCCGTCTCAAACCCTCACGCATCCTCTCTGCCTTCTGCTCCACTGCCTTATTTGACGTTGAGACGCCCTTCTGGAGGGCAGAGACCAGAGGGTGGAGGCGAGACTGTAGCTCATGGCCTGGCAGTTGGTGGGTGTGAATCCATGTCTGCTGGTCGCTTAAATGAATGCACGAACATGTGCTCCTTTTGGGGGGAGAGCAGCTCTCTGAGGACAGCCTGATTTATACATGACCCGCAGCACTGCGAGCGCCCGCTCAGCTACCCCTTGATGCTCCTTGAAGGGAGGATGCCCGTAGCCCCTCCTCTGACAGGCAGAGACCACTTGGCGCCAGGGCACCTCGGCCGGGCACCTCGGCCAGCGAAACCGCTGGAGCGCCAGGCCGCCGCGGAATGTGGCTCTGCGGTTGTCGATCATAGAGGCACTGAAAGGCTAAGTCTCAGGAACAATGGCTGGTGTCCCGGGCGCCGAGGGGGCGCATGTTGGCTTTGGGGATAGCGAGGTACCACACACAGGCCTCTGCCCTGGAGGAGCGGGGAAGGGAAGGAGAAGTGGCCCGGTAGCTATGGTAACAGGGTGGTCTAAGGAGGCGTCCTGGAGGGGTGCAAGCCCTGAGCGGGACCTTGCCGCCCTGCTCACCACTCTGGCATTCGGTCAGCCCGCCGTCCCGGCCCCGGCGTGTGCTGGGCGCCGCGCTCAGCAGTGGGCCGAAGAGCCAGAGTTCCTCCTGCCAAGGCCGGGTTAGGTGCCCCCTCGGTGTGCTCCCTGAGCCCCCCCCCAGGGCGTCCCTTGGCACAGCCCCCATCTCCCTGCATTGGAATTGCCTGTTCTGGGGTCTGCTTTGCTTCCCTCCGGGCTCCGAGAGCCCCTCAAGGGCAGGGGCCAGATCTGTCTCTGCCGCTTTGTCCCCAGTGCCCAGCGCAGGGCCGCCTGGCACCGCAGCCTGAGTTCTGTTTTGTGGAGTTGAACCCAGTGCGGTCAGGGTCGCTCGGGGCTACGGGCATCCTCCCTTCTCCCAGCTCAGGAACCTCTGGTGTTGATTCTGTCCCCAGCCACCCCCCCCACCATCCCGGCCACCCCCCAGATTCTGGCCCAGTCCCGAGAGGTGGGGAGGGCCGAGGGAGGAGGAAGGTGAGACAGGGAGGGCTGAGCAGAGGGAGAGAAAGCCTCCCTGCTGCCTGGCTGCCGGCACCGCGGGAATGGTTCTGGCAGGAGCTGCCTGCTGGGCTGAGATCACCATGGAGACCTGGCTTGGAGAGGGTCACTGGCAGTGGCGAAGGGCCGGAGGGGGCGGGGGTGACAGGGATTTGTGCAGAGGCTCCCAGCCTGCCCTGGGGCCCTTGTGGGTTTGGGGGGGAGCAAGCCGGGAAGGCTGGGGCTCGGTACAGTCCACTTGCCGAGTGGTTTGGGGCAGCCGGGGCTGAGTCACCCCCTCCCTCGTCACGCCAGCACCCTATACGTGTCACCCCAACAGAGGTTCCTTAGCGCAGCAGCTGTTGCCACCTGCAGTAGACGCCTCCCGCCCCCCAGCTACACTAGTCCTGTGCCCTACTGGGTACCCGGCCTCCGGCTCCAGCTGTTCCTGTTCATCACCCTAACTGGGGGACTGACACCCATCCCAGCAGCATCCCTGGGCCCAAGAGCTGCTGCTTTCCTACCATTCCCCTGGTTCTAATTCAGCTACACCCTAACAGGCGCACCTCTTCCCCCTCCGGCTAATACTCCATCCTCCATCACCCCCAGGAGACCTGACAGCTTAACACAGGTTCAGCCTCCACCCTTCCCCTCCCTCCTGCCTCTGCTGGCCGCCTGGGCCCATAGACGGGGATGGGCGCTGCCCCTACCTCTCAGGAGCCCACCTGGTTCCCCTGGCCCCGGGGGGGGGGGGGGGCGGGAGGGGAGGGGGGGTAGTCCTGGCAAGTCCAGCCTCAGGACAAAAGTCTTCCCCAGGGCTGACTGCCCAGCAGACAGCAGCCGAGGCTGAGCAGAATTTAAATGTGGCCCTGTTGGGAAGGGAAGCCAAGAAAGGACAAGAGAGGAAAGGCTTTCTGTGGCCGCCTGCTTCCTGCAGGGGTCGGGGAGGGGGGGTGTTCTCCTAAGGGGTCTTAGAAGGCAGTTGTAGCACTCCCCACACCTTAATTCGGGTGGGCTGGTCACTCACCAAGTGCAGGGACAGGAGTTTCAGGGCTCTTCAAGGAGGCCAGGACTCTGAAAGCGCCAGGTTCATGACTGTGGGTCTTGAGCATAACCGAGCCCATCCCTGTCCCTCTGGGCATCTTCCCGCCATCCTCAGCCAAGCCTTGGGTTCTGGGTGGGGAGGCCTGGAGAAGGGGTACTTCAGACCTCCAGTGTCTGGTGATTGTAGGGACTGGGAACATGGAAGTTTCTGAGCCTCAGCAGCCAAACACAGATGGTACTGTGTTGGGCCATTTCCTTATTCCTTTATTCAGACAGACGTCCCAGTCACCTTGCCTCTGGAAGGAACCGAATGGCATCGGAGGGGACTGGGAAAGGGTTGGAATTAGAAGAAATGAAAGTGCACGGGTGTGCAGTTCATGCCTGTGCTGTGGTCAAGCCCTGTGCTCCCCACTGCGTCATTCCTCACAATAGCCTCGCTTGGAGGAATGACTAAACTCATTGTTATATGAGGAAACTGAGGCTTGGGGCACCTACCTGGCCCAGGCCCCAGGAAAATAATAATGATGTATAATCAGCATCATTTCTTACATTTCCTATACCAGGCTTAAGCCACCTTAAGCCACTGAATCCTCCCAACAAACCTACGGGATAGTTTGGTTATCCCCCTTTTACAGATGAGTAAACTGAGGCTCATGGAGATTCGCGGACTTGCCCAGCGTCCTGGAGCTGTCCAGGGGTGGTGCTGGCATTTGAACTCAGCTGTGTCTGACTCAAGAGCCCAAGTCCTTAACAAATTGCACTGCCTGGAACCCCAACTCCTCTCCCAGAGCCTCCTTTACCTCTCATTGAGGCAGGCCGTGGATACAAGCCTATTTTACAGATGGGGAAACTGAGTTCAGAGAAGGCGAGAAACAGTCCATTGTCTCATGAGGGGCTATTTGGAGTGTTCTGGGAGAAGGAACAATGTGGGTAGCTTCTCCCAGAATCCTGTAGGAACTGGGTGGGGGTCCCACTCTTAGCCTCTCTGTTCTTAGAGCTCAATGTCTCTGCCTACTGCTAACTTCCGCCTCCTCTTTTGTGTTTCTCTGCAGCTTTCAGAAAACCAACGCCAAGACCCCTCCCAGCGTCCATATTGTCCTCTGGCAGGAGCGCCTGCCCCTTTGCCTCCCACCCCACCCCACCTGCCTCCCTTGCACTACCATCTCCCCCCCACCCCTCCCCGCCCATCTCCTCCACGCAGAAGCCGAAGGTGAGCCCTTTCTGCACAAAACCAGCAATTGTAAATACTTTTTAAAAATGTACAAAACTTAAAAACAAAACACAGTTTTAGAAAAAGACAAAAAAAAAGAGAGAGAGAGAGCGCGAGCGTGTGCAAGAGGTTGCGAGCGGGGCCCCGAGGTGTCCAGAGCCCCTGCAAGTATGCACTGAGAAATTTATCTACAGGTCGTTTGACAAAAATGAACAATATCCTATTTATTGTATATACTGTTTTATTATAAATCGTGGATTGTATATTGCATTCTGTAAACCTGCTGTGGTCCCGTGGTGTGCAAATTCGCATGGTGGGGGGGAGGGGGCAGAACCTCTTGCGGGAGCTTTTTTTTTTTTTTTCTCCTTTCTTTCTTATTTTTCACTCTTTTGGGTTTTCTCTTCTGTTGTTGTTGTTGTTTTCTGTTTTGGCAGGACACACCCAAAGATCCAAGTTTGTATTAAAAAGAAATGAAAAAAAGCAAAAAAAAAAAAACAAAAAAAAAAAACCCACCTCGTGTCTTGTGAAAGGGGGTGAGTGAGGGTGGATGGAATGGAAGAGGCATGGCTGGGTTTTGTTACCAGACACTGGCTCCCCTGAGTTGAAATACCTTCATGTGTTCTCACCTTCTGAGGTCTCCCTTCTGCCTGAGATCTGAGTCGGCTTTGCATCTGGGAACCGCGCCCCCCTCCCACATTACAGCCCAGGCCCTGGGTCTCCCCTGCCGTGATCCCCAGCCTGCTCCCTAGGGCTTTGTGGCCCCTGTCCATGCATTATGTCCCAGATCCAGGGATTCTGCCTCCTAGATCCTTGGCCTTGGTCCTGGGTCTCCCCTGATTCTGAAACCCCTATTGTGTCCCACACCCCAGGACCCCACAAGTACGGGGATGCTGGCCTCTTGGACCCCTCTTCTCCCCTCAAGTCCTAGATTTCTTTTCCTGGAGGGATCCCCATTATAAATCAGGTCTCGAGTCTCCTTGCTTCCGGACCCTCTCATTCCATCCTGGATCCCAGGTCTCTTGACTCCAGCCCCTTCCTTTACACTGTGGCACCCCAGCCTTTGGGCCCTGCAGTTCTCCTCCGGTTCAGGGACACCGGTCTTTGAGACCCTCATGCCGTCTTGGCCCAAGAACCCTTGTGGAACACCCCCTTTCCCACAAGGACTGGAGTATCTCCCATTCACCCCAGGTCCTGGATCTCCTTAGTCTCCAGGCCCCCCATTTTGCCCCAGCACACCTGACGCACCTGCATCTATCTGCCTGTGCAAATTCCGGAGTTTGATAGGCCAGTAACCCCGATATTTCTGCCTTCCCCCTTCCCCTGAACCCCAAATGCTGGGGCTGTTTTCTCCCAGCATTTGTAAACTTTTATACAAAGTTTGAGAAAACTCAATCCCGTGCCTATATCTGGTGGGCCTGGAAAGGCTAAATTGTTCCCCACTCCCTGACCTTGGGAGCTCTTGGCTGCCCTTGATCAAATAATGCCCACTTGGGGCAGCCTGGTCTTTAACACGCGGCTTTTCCCATAGATCTGCTTCAGGTTAAATCTCTGCTGAATGTGGCTCTGTGTCTCCCCACTGAAGATCAGGGGGACCCCAAGGGACAGCTCCACGGGGCCCACACAGCCTTAGGAGAGTCTGAGGAACCCTCTGAGGGGGAGACACAGACCGCCAGCTTCTGGGGACCCCTATCTGAAAGAGGACATCAGAGGATTCAGGTAAAACAGTCCCCCAAAACTGAAGCCTCTGTGCTGGATGTGAGGCTTATCCACCCACCAAGCCCCCTCTCTGCATCCCCAACAACTCAGATGAAGTCACTGCCACCTCACTCCCTGGTGAGGCAAAGGCGACCACACGAAGCTCAAGGCTACAATCCAGTATGGTGCTGCACGTGGGGGCAGGGAGCAGGAAGACCCAGTAAGGGTCGGGAAGGGGGTGTTTGTTCCAGGAGGAGTAAACAGCGTGTGCAAAGGCCTGGGGGTGGGGGTGGGGGGCAGGCGGCCACCATACGTAGTTAGGTCTGTTTGGAGCAGACACTTGGTGCGGAGCGGGGAGGACTGGGAGAGGGCCCGGCGGAGGCTGGTTGAAGTAGGTGGCATGGACGGAACCAGTGCAGGAGGCAAGAGAAGCTTGTTTTCAGCCCCATGAATCGCCTGCAGGGAGAAAATAAGTGTGTTCAGCGCTGCTGAGGAAGCAGTAGAAGCTTGGGGACGCTGTCCAGGTGGGGGCAGGCTGCAGGATTGGGGGCTGCTGAGGGTGCCCAGAGGAGTTTCAGTGAGGAAAGGGGACAGGAGGGGGAATTCAGTGGAAGGGACTGGAGCTTTACTTGAAATGGGGATGGAGGGCAGTGAAAGCTTGTGTGCCCAGGAATTGGTGGGGGTTGGGAGGGACGACCCACGAAGGAAATGGGAGTTTAGGGAGGTGATTATAGCCCAGCGAGGGGGCTCATTAACTTGAAGAGGGTTTTGGAGGAGGGATGGGATTCACTGCAGAGAGTGGAGCTACAGTTTCTGGGCTGGGAGAGAGAGTTGGAGAGGGAGCTCTTGGAAAGTGAGTCTTGGGGGGGGGAGGGGCGGGCAACAAGAAAATAGGAGCTCAGGGAAGGGAGGGAGCTCAGTCTGTGGCTCAGTAAGGGGTAAGAGGGCAGAGGTGTATTTTGGAGAGCAGACTTGGGAGATCTGCCAGGACCAAGGGCCCGGCCTTCGGGATGGAAGGCTCTCTGACCCTGTCCAGGTGGGGGGGACGGGGGGGGGGGCGGGTCCACCCCATTTTGATCTATTCTTTTCAGAAATTTCAGCCTTACCACAGCCACAGCCCTGCACCTGATTGCAAAAAGCATCAAGGCAATGTGGCTCCCAGATGTTTGGGTTTCACCACCATTATTAAATACTTCCCTAAAGTTTTTATTCCTCAAAACAATCCTCGAGGTAGAGAAGATACTCACCTCATTTACAGATGAGAAGACAGGTTCAGAGACCTGGAGTACGTGACTTGTCCAAGACGACATGGGAAGTGGGAAGAAGTAGTCTGACTCTGAGCGCTCAGTCTAAGAAAAAAATCCTGCTTAAAAAATTCACTCAAGAAAAAAATTCAAAGGTTAAATAAAAAACAAGAATAGGAAATAATTTCTTTAATTATGTGCCAGGTACTGTTCCAAACTATATAAAATTCATGCCATCTCCACAACAATTCTATGATAAGGCTTTATTGTAATGATTATTCTCCGGTTTCACAGACAGGAAACTCAACTCGCAGAGAGGTAATTTACAAAGACCATTCATTGTGATATCAGAGTTCAAACCCAAATCATCTGGTTTGGGAGTCTGCTCTGCTGTCCTGTTAAAAGTGAAAACCCACTCTACCCACATCCCTGGTAATAACCCACATGTCCACATTTTCAGGTCCATGCTTTGAGATCAGGGGTTCTCAGCCCAGAAGTTCGGATTTCATTGGGCTGGGCGGGGTCTGGGCAATGAGATTTTTTAAAAGCTTACCCTGGTGGTTCTAATGTACAAAGCGGAGAACCACGAATCCAGCTATTGTGCCCAGTGTTTACATACAAGCAGCCACCTGTGTGCACACACCTCTATTTAATGTGTTGTCCTAGGTGTTCAGGTGTTGGTAAGATGCTTTCTTGTGTATGTGCTGTGGTTTCCATTAGTGTTTTTCACTGCGTGGCTGTAAATTACCACGGGTTTCCTGAGTGACTGTTAGAGGCACTGTAAACACATTCATTCAACAAATATTTCTTAAGCACCTACAGGATTCCAGGCAATGGCCCAGGCACTTGGGGATGCAACAGTGAACAAAACAGATGGGGTCCCTGCCTTTGAGTGTATCCTCTTTTGGGATTGACAGATTTGGTCTTTTGTCCTTGCCTACGTGTGGCAGGGGGATAGCTGCCCTTGGAGGTTGCTGAAGGGTGAATGTCTGGCTAGGAGATCCTAGGAGGGTGAGACTTGCTGTTTGCTGTGTGCGTGGGGGGCCCTCGGGCCCTATGTGCAGATGTGTTAAGAGAAGGAGACCTAGGGCATGTTTCTGGGTTTGAATGAGTGTGGCTGACAGTGTGGCGTGTGTGTAAAGATGTGTGTGATCTGGACCTGTGAAAATGCAGACGACAGGATGAAGAGGGCGTGACGGGGGAGGGCTGTGTGCAAGGCAAGCACCAGCCCAGGACAGCACACAGATGGTGGCTCACCCATACACACACGCACACGTGCACACACGAACACACATACAGCCAGCTGCTTCAAGGAGGAAACTGGTTTCCAGTCCCAGGGCACAGACTCCCAGGGCCAGGAGAACTCTGCTCTGGGGATGTGGAGGAGGCACAGCTGGGGCTGGAAACTCGAGAGTGGGAGGAAGGGAGGGAGAGCGAAGGAGGGAGGCTGGGGAGCCACATCCTTGATCTCTGGTCTGTTTCAGCAGTTCCGGACTTGGTGCTCTGGGTCTGTGTGACTCTGGGTCTCCCTCTCTCTGATGTCCGGATATTGGCATCACTCTTTCTCTCTTCTGGGTCTTGGGCTCTGAGGCTGCTCACATGACTCTGGGTCACCCCCTCTCCAGCCTACTTGGCTCTGTGTCCCCGCTCCAAGTCTGTCTCTGTCTCCATGTCTGACTCTGTCTCCGTGTCCTTCCTTGCCCTTGCCAGGTGGGGGGGAAGGGGCCCAGTGCTCAGGGAGCAGGTGTCAACTCAGGCAGCAGGCAGTGAAGCCAAGGAGGGCACAGAGCCAGCAGCCCCTGGACACACAGCCACACTCCAGGACACTCTCGGGGCGCTCACAGATACGCACAATGACATACGTGGAGAGATGGGTTCTCGGGGACATACACACAGGTGCACAATTCAACACAGAGCGAAGCCCAGAAACACAAGGATGCCAGACAGAGGGTCACATGCAGATACCAGGGGGTGATGCACACACAAACTGACGAATACTTACTCGGGCACACACCAAAAGAATCGCAGGCACAATCGGGGCATTTTTCCAGAGAAAAACTCAGAGCCATGGGCACACAAACGACGCAAACATACACACACCTTCAGGCATGGGCAGACACACTCACTCACTGGAACACAGATGTACA